ACTTTTCACGTTTAGATTCTTTATTCTCATGTAATAGCATACATGAATCATAATCATATAATAACATACATGAATTGATTCTCACATAATAACATATATGAATCATAATCGAAAACTAACCTTGATCCATGAGCACTTCATAATTCTCTTTCTTTCACTATCCAATATTCTAAAACTGTTGAAGGAAGTGGTTGATATTTGTACTGTCACCATAAGTTCTTAAGTCCTTAAGATTGTTGTAAAAGCTCGACGAGACACGAACAAATTTTATTCCCGAGACGTGTATAAACACTGCCCTTAATGATTTATCTCACGATGTATTACGCAAGTTCCCCAGATACAACAGGAACTTCTCGAAATATCCGAATATCTCGTAAACTAGCAAGAAACTCTCAAAAGGATAAATTAACTCGGGATAACATAAAGAAGATCAGTAGAAGATGAGAGAGGTGTGTCTTGAAGAGTGTGAAGTGGTCTCCATTTATAGTAGAAAGTCTCGTAGCAGCTTATGAGAAGATTTGGTAGTGGGTCTATAACGTTCTCCGAAACAGTCTTCGTAACGTATGAGAACACTTTCTCTAAAACAGTTTTCCGCAACGCGTGTGGGAACAAACAATCTTCTTCTTTAACATGTGAGAACACATTATCTCAAACTGTCTTTTGCAACGTGTTAGAACATGTTCTCAGCTTTTGCAATACCCCTTAATTTACAAGATATATATATATATATATATATATATATATATATATTATTTTGTTAAAATACTTTTATTTTACTTACATATATTATACGAATATACGTAGAGATGATGAAATAAAATTAAAGAATTAATAAACTTTGTTTGCAACATGTTTTTAAAATTTTATTTGTGTTTGATTATGGTACGTGGATGGATGGATGACACATGTTTTATTTTTTTTAATTAATTTATAAGTGAAATTTTAAAAATACAAATCTTCCGACCATATATATTTTAAATAATAAATTGAAGGAGATAAGATGTAAATAATTTTTTTATTAAAGTATGTAATTTTGTGATAATTTATTTTGTAAATATATAATTATGATAACTCTTCAATAACTTTAAGTAAATTAATTTTAAAGAATTATGTATTCTTGTTATATATATATATATATATTATAATTTATATAACCATTAAAACTTTAAAAAATTTGTAAAAAATTTAATTTATCATTTACTTATTATATAAATTATTACAATTCAAGTACGATTATTATATTCATACCACTTTACTTTTTATTATTATAAAATCATGAATATAACTATATTTTCTTATATTATATTTATAACAATTTTCTTTTTATTATTATAAAATTACAATATAATTATATCTTCTTATAATTTCTTCCTAATATAAAATAGAGTACTCTATTTTAATTTTGTCTAATGTTTATTTTTTTAATATTTAATTAAAATAGATGTATAAAGAAATATATATATATATATATATATATATATATAGTTTTGCGGTGTTAATAAATTTTATTAATAATATAACATATATTTAAAATATTTTTATGATGAAGTTATTTTATATTCTTTTATTACTTAAAGTAATAATAATAATTATTATTATATTTTAATGATCTTATAATTTCTTCCTAATATAAAATAGAGTACTCTATTTTAATTTTGTCTAATGTTTATTTTTTTTAATATTTAATTAAAAATATTTTTATGATGAAGTTATTTTATATTCTTTTATTACTTAATAGTAATAATATTTATTATTATATTTTAATGATCTTATAATTTCTTCCTGATATAAAATAGAGTACTCTATTTTAATTTTGTCTAATGTTTATTTTTTTAATATTTAATTAAAATAGATGTATAAAGCACTATATATATATATATATATATATATATATATATATATATATATACATACATGTTTTGCGGTATTAATAAATTTTATTAGTAATATAACATATATTTAAAATATTTTTATGATGAAGTTATTTTATATTCTTTTATTACTTAATAGTAATAATAATAATTATTATTATATTTTAATGATTTTATAAAATAAATATTAATATGAAATAATAATTATTAATATAATATAAAATATATGTATGCGATATTTAGACTTTTGTTAATAATTTTTTATTTAAACAAAATTTGTAATTTTTTGTTCTATTTTTTGTTAGTTTTTAATTTTATTATTGTATTCTAATCATTCTATAATAAAGCATATTATTATCAAATAATAAAAGACAAATAAATCGAAAATGAATCATACAAAGTCCATTTAATTTGTAAGGACTTTTAAGACTTGATAAATTTATCATATATTTTTCATAATATATATAATTAGACTTTAATTAAATTAAAAAAATCCAATGTTATATATTGTAGAAAAAAAATAGTTAAACAACCTATCTTTAGCATACAACCTTCCCATAACTTATCTAATATTATAATACAATTTTTTTAATTATTTTTTATAATAATTAATTATTATATTAACAATGTTTTTTTTTAAACATGGTCACTGTTTATTATAACTATTGTCAACGTTTTTAACCATTCTTATTTTGATTTTTTTACAAAGTTAATTAAAATATATAAACATATGTAGAAATATTTTGCATTATCGCCATATGATATATTACAGTATATTTATTTTGTGTATATAATGGTACAACTTTATCTTTTGATTTATATATTTAAAAATATCAATTTACTTATTTTAGTCATTGTATATATATTATATTTAATTTATTTTAAGTTTTATTATCTCATTTTAAAGATTATAAATAATCACGAATTATATATATATATATATATATAATAATTTTAAATATAAACAATAAAAATATAAAATGTATTCAACTAAGTAAATTAATTATTTTAATAATATTTCAATTGATTATTATATTAACAATGTTTTTTTAAACATGGTCACTGTTTATTATAACTATTGTCAACGTTTTTAACCATTCTTATTTTGATTTTTTTACAAAGTTAATTAAAATATATAAACATATGTAGAAATATTTTGCATTATCGCCATATGATATATTACAGTATATTTATTTGTGTATATAATGGTACAACTTTATCTTTGATTTATATATTTAAAAATATCAATTTACTTATTTTAGTCATTGTATATATATTATATTTAATTTATTTTAAGTTTTATTATCTCATTTTAAAGATTATAAATAATCACGAATTATATATATATATATATATATATATATAATAATTTTAAATATAAACAATAAAAATATAAAATGTATTCAACTAAGTAAATTAATTATTTTAATAATATTTCAATTGACTTTAAATTTGATATATAAAGACATATTTAATAAGAATAATTTATATGAATTATTTTTTATGTAATATAAATTTATTATATCATATTATTTTAAATAATTTATTATTAATTTTACTTTAATATTTAATTATTTTTTTCTTTATTTTTTATAAATTAATTAATAAAATAATTAATTTTTTTAAGTCAATTATTATATTATGTAGTATTACTTTAATAAAAAAATTAATACTTTACTTAATTAATACGAAAACAAATTAATTAAAATAACTATACTAATACTCTACTTAATTATTACAAAACCAATGCAATAAATAAAGATGCTCATTATGATTTTCTTTCTCGATCTTTTCATAATTGGCACATGACTTGAATCAATTGAAATCACTTCACCAAAACATTGAAAGTTAGTTAGTTAGTAGGTGGGTCCTTGCATTGATTACATTATGAACAGAACTCACATACACAGTTTGATAGTGAAAGGAAAGAAAAATTAAAAACAAAAAAAATAATACATCTATTATTTCTTTAAAGCTTTTGGAAAAACTTTAATAACATTTATTTTCTCAAAAGTTAAATGATAAAAAATTGGAAAAAGAAATTAGAAAGCAATTGATTGTACTAATCTAAACTTATTCTTCATAAGTTTATTAAAACAATAGACAAAATAGCATTATTAAATAGTCATTTCTTTTTTATTTTTATGTTAAAAAAATGTTTCTTGAATAAATTTATAATTAAAATAGATCTACATATATTGCATTTTTTCCTCTTTTAAAAAATGTTTTCATATACAATAATCATTTATTTATAATTATTGTTTCAAAATGCGTGACGTTTTTAAAATTTCTTTTATGTTGTTTTAATTTCTTATCAATGATGCTATACTATGGATCACGCGTAACTTTTAATACATTGAAAAAATAATTTAAGATGTTTAATATTTCAAAAATATTAAATATACTTTTTTTAAAATTTAAACATATTTAGATCAATGTTAACAATAACCATAAACATAAAATTGACGTATAAAACGTTATAATTAAAAATAATTATAGTTATTTTTATCTATTATTAAAATTGTTATTTTTTTTATCAATTCTTAGTAAAAATAATTATTTTTTAAAACAAAATATTATAATTAATATTTTGAAATTCTTTTAGTGAACATAATTAATATTTTGAAATTAGATCACAAAATAAATTTACCAAAAAAAGCAACAAAATATATTGAAACATAATTGACATATTCAATATATGTTTGAAACCCTGTCAACACTGAAATGGATAACGTCAAACGAGTCTACCAACCAACATTAAATTTTGAAAATAAAAACTCGAGCAAATATTAAATTCTGAAAAATGAAAGTTATTTTCGGAGAATGAAACAAAACCCAAAGTCGACCATGCGTGGCACGCTCCTTCACTGAGTTTCCACTGTCCACCATTTCAGCTTGTAACCGTCGTTGCCATAAAGTTTCTGGATTTTAGCAATCCAGTGGGAGTTGAAGGAAAGAGACATTCATTGATCATTCATTCAATCCACTTAATATCTCATCTCGTTTCTCATCCTTTAAACCAGATCGCCATTCCAAAATGAGTGGTATTTTTTTTCTGTTTCAATTTTTTTTTCTCAAATCATCCATAATCATAGCAATCCTTTCCTTTTTTTCTGATCGAACCCCTTCATGGCAATTGCAGCTTGTGTTTCTCCTAGCCTGTGGCTGGCTTCAAATCCCAGCAAAAGATGGGGCGAACTCTTCTTCCTCCTCTACACCCCCTTCTGGCTCACCCTCTGTCTCGGCATTGTTGTTCCCTTCAACCTTTACGAGGTTTTACCCTTTTTCACCTTTTATTTTTCTTTTGTAAATCTGGTAATTAGGGTCTTTGTTTTGTATGTGGGGCCCTAAAGAATATAACAAATTTCGATCTTTTGTGTCGGTCACAAGACTATTTCCTGTTCAGGGTTTAGACACAATTAAAGCTTGTTGTCCCTTCCTAAATGAATGTGTTGTGCAGGTATTGAATTTAGGTTTTCACAAACTCCGCGTGCGCTGTTAACTTAGATAGCTATACTCAGTTGGGGTTTATGTTTCTTTTTTCATGTAAATAATAAAATATGAATGGTAGAATTAACGTTTTTAGTTTTAATTATGAGTTTGAGTGAAACAATGTGATGGCTCTTGCAGAATTTCACAGAATTGGAGTACTTGCTTATCGGATTGGTTTCCGCTGTTCCTGCTTTCATCATTCCAATGCTGCTTGTTGGAAAGGTGTGGGCTCAATTATTTACCTTGAAATGGAATGGTTGTTGGTTCCTGTTGATTTATTTTATGAATTGAATCCTAGATAAGTGTTTGCTTCTCTGTTGGGCCTATTTTAGCAAGTTCTAATTCTGGGGTTTCAGTTGTTTATCATCTTAAGTAGTGATTACTGAGAAAATGATTTATATTCTATTCTTGCTGCTGTAGTCTGCGTGAACAGAGAGTGGTGTAATTAGTTTCTTTTGTGATTCAAAATTTGCAGGCTGATAGAAGCATTTCTTGGAAGGATCGTTATTGGGTCAAGGCAAGTTCTTTTATGAGATAGAATTTTCCAATATTTATCGTTGTTGTATTGTTTTTTTTATCTGTTTGGTAAGAATTATGCAGTGTGGACCTAAAATTATTATTTAGTGATATTGAACTGCTATTTTGTGTGAAGTACTGTGTGTGCTTAATAGTGCTTCTTATTCTAAGTAATTTACAGTCTTTATGTATATAAATAAATTGGTTTTCTTAAACAGAAAGACCTACTCATTACCTGACATGCCCAGCTCAGCTATTATCTACCCCAATACCAAACGGCTTGTTGTGGGGTTCAACCCTTTCACACCCCTTATACATTCCCTTTACTCCATTATTTTCCATTAGGGGCCTCTCTAGGAACTAGAACTAGTCATTAAGTCATCAAATACACATTTTGCATTTTTTTTTGCCATTGATCTTATATCTGCTTCTTAATCTTAAAATACTGATAAAACCAGTTTGAATCCAAAATAATAAAGTATGGAAGTAGGTTTAGTGTGAAACCTGCTTTTATTTTCCATGCAAGAAAAGGAGCATTAGAAGGGGGATGTCTATAAGAATTGTGAGTTAATCCATTAGACGAATTCGTGATAGGAAACTGAATGATTCCCACCAGGTAACCTGTAGTTTGGTATCAGGTCAAGATCTACAAAAGAAGGGGATTCTAGCGAATCCTCCTATAAAGGTAGATGACTTGGACTGATGCAATTCCCTGTTTCTTGATTAAGACTTTTTCAATTTCCAGTTTTCTTTCATTTTGTATTCAGATCAAGTTGTTTATGCATCCTAAAATGGATTTTATTGAGAGAGGAAGAAGACAAGAGTCATGTGATGATTTCATGTCTCAATTACATAGTGGAGGTTATTACGTGTAATAGGTGTCCAAATACAAACATTATAGTTAGCCTAGTTATTGTGATTACATATTTTATACATACACACACACACACACACACATATATATATATATATATATATAATTATAATTTACCTTATCTATATTATTTCTAACACACTCCCTCAAGTTGAAACATATGAACAGAATGAAACTGAATTACGTCTGTAATTGATTGAAGAGCCCCTCAATGACTTATTAAAGTTATCTTGTGTTAAAAGTGACAGTATCTGTATATAAGATCTATTGCCTAATGAAATGACAATCTATCTCAACATGTTTGGTTCTCTAATGGAAGATTGGATTTGAGTTGATATACAAATGAACTTGATGGTCACAAATAAGTTTCATTGCGAACCTCCTCAACCTCAGTTCTTTAAGCAATTGTTCCTGTAAGATAAGTTCATAGGAGCAAAAGTCATTGATCAATATTTTGCTTAGAGTTGTCAAAATGGAAGACTCGGCTTAGCTTGACTTGGCCTTAAGGGCCAAGTAAAACAATTTGATTGCTAAACTTGACTTATATTTTTAAATAGGCCATAATTTTTTACCTAGCCTAACCTTATGTTAGGCTAACAATCAATTTTTGTCTGATTGAAAATTAAAAAGAAAATTATTAAAGTGTCTATATAAAAAATTAATTAAAAAATATTTAAATAAAAATTTAAAATATATTTTAAAATTTTAAATTATATTAATGAAATTAATATTTATTTCAATATTATGATTTAATATATAAATTATAAGAGAAAGAAATTCATTTAGTCTCAAAATAAAAATTACAAAATTACTCTTCATTATTATCACTCATTCTTTTAATGATTTATTGATCTAAAATAATAATTTATCTTAATTATTAGATCGTAGAATAAGTGGATGTTAGATAGTTCTTCTTGTGTATTTACTCTTATAATAAGTTAATCCTTTATTAAGTTAATTTATAATATATATATATATATATATATATATATATATATATATTTTAATAAAATAATATTATTGTTATTTTTATTTAAAAAATTATTATTATTCTATAAAATGGGTCAGGTCAAAATAGACCTTATTCAATTTAGGCTGCAAATTTTTTAATATGACTTGGTCTATTTCCTGGGCTTTTTAGGCCGACTCAACGGGCTAAGCCTATTTTTGGTACTTAAATTTGCAACAATGCTCTTGTATGACATGTGTCTTCATACAAGAGGCCTTCTCCTATAATTCCCTTATTATATTTTAAAATTCAAATTACTGCATCTCAGTTGCTTTCATTGGAGGAGTTAAGAAATTGACTTACACCATTAATTGGAAAAAGATATTTAATGAGTGACAGTTTTCCCAACTGATTTTCTTTACTTCCCTAGGTCTGAAAGTTGCTCCTTCTAACATGCATCAGTCTTGTTTCTTCTAAAATATTTGTCTCAGACTTCCTCTAAGAAAACATGATACCTTTCATAGATAATGTTACTTCTATCCCCAAGAAGTAAAGTAGAATACTGAAATCTTTTGTTTGAAAATAAACACTTTGGCAGTATTATATTTATTTGGTGACCTATGCAATGCTATGACTATCATTATTCATGTAGCACAAACAGTAAGCTTAAAACAACAAAGAAGCAAGAGTAAGCGAATTAAACAAGGGATAAAAACTAAGACAGGAAAAATTAGAACATGTAATTGATCAAAGTGAAATGAAAAGGATGAATATGACCCATGAGACAACGAAACATGCCACTTGAACCCATTTCTTCTCAAGATAAGTGTCTTGAGAATCACCACTTGAATCACATGACATTAACATAAGAAACTCAAAGAAGAAGAGTCACACTCACAGAAGAGGCTATGCTCTAAAATAACTCAAAAAGTGTGTTACAAATAGATCTATTAGAATCCTTTAGATATGTTATAATCCTATAGATATGATGTTACGATCAATTACATTGATTTTATATTTATATAATTAGCCTAAAATAGGGAAACTAAATATTCTATAATTATGCTCACTCCCGTATAAATTGAATTGCTCCGCCATTTTCTAAACACATGGAATGCCTTCTTTGTTTCTCTCTTCTCAACATGGTATCAAGAACCTAACAAGAAGAAACCCTAATTTGTGTCCCTATGAGCTCACTAATCATAAGTGTAAAATTTTTCTCAGAAATCGTGTATCTTATCTTTTATTTTTTTCGTTGGTGCACTATTCACAATGGTGACACTGTTCATGTTGGAAGCACTGCTGTACTAGAGCTATTGTTCATATCAGAGTTACTATTCATGCGAATTTTTATTCTTTTAAGGAAATTTTCTTCCCTCTTGCTACCCAATGGCTACCTACAAGTTTGACACTCAAATTCTTACCAGCCACATCACCGCACCACTCTCTTCTAATTTGTTGGATGATAAAAAGTACTCTTGGGCTTCTTATATTGAACTTTGGCATGTTGGACAAGGTCTCACCTAAACAGAAATTATGATCCCAGAGGCAGACCGTCTTCTGTGATAAGGTTGATGCTCAATTATGTTATATTATCTGTGCCACCATTAACCCCTCTCTTTGCGTCTTCTGCACTCACAAAACTTGTCATGCAGTTTGGACATAGGCCAAACAACTCTTTACAACAGTTATCAACAAATCTACCATTTTGTGAAGATCTCTTGACTATCCTTAGTGCTCACGAGATTAAGGATTATATGACAGACTAATCTAGGCTCGGTCTCTAGACTCCTTTGTGACTTCAATGAATTGCTTAGTCTCTAGACTCGTTTGTGGCTTCAATGAATTGCTTCATCTTGCTACGACTCTTGCAACAGAAGAACTTAATTGTCAAAAGTTCTTCATGTCCATGACACTATATGGTCCAGTCACAAACTAGTCTCATGTTCGTAATCAGATCCTGGTATCCCCTCAAAAGCTACCATGAATCGTACCTGGGTGACTCTCCGTGTTCCTACTAAAGCCTCTTCTGAGTCTTTGCCTTCTCCTACCTAGCCTTGTTGACTCTTCTGCTTTGGTATCTAAAATAACAATAAACTTTTGCTGCATAAGGGCGGCACAGAACATCCTTGGTGCAATCATTGTCTCAAACCGGGACACACAATTGATAAGTGTTGGGCTTTACATGGTTGACCTCCTCACAAGACACTGCATGTTACACACAGATTGCAAGGTTTTTCATTCATTTCTTTTTCCTGCTCACACATGTATTCAACACCAGTGCACCATTGTGCCACTCCAGGCATGATTTGCAATATGCATGCTTTAGTCACAGATAATGATAACTCTGTTACTTAGAAATGTGGCATTCTGGGCCAGGGTTCTGAATGCTCACATAGGGCGAACCTTCACTCCAATATAATGGGAAACAAGCAAAAGCATTTTTTGTCTGTTATCCCTCAAGGCAAATCCGTAACATCCAAGACTATAATTAATCAGTAAAACATGTAATAAAGAATTTAATTAAATAAAGCATATTTGGGTGAGTCAGAGATACTAACCTGTCAAGTTTTTGCAGGGCAGCCTGCTCCATGTTTGGCAAGCCATACATGGTGTAGGCCAGCCCAAATTGTCATTCCTATGAGAAGCAATGTATATGGTCATTATACTGATGATAGAGTGTCCAACTTTAGGGCAATGGTCGTGTTTGAGACAAGCTTTACCTTGCTTGTGGGACTGGCCATGGTCAGTTGGTTACTACTCCAAGAGACCAAGGCAGATGAATTGACAATAAGCATGTCCATGTTATAAGAGTATTTGTCTGGTTCCTATAGAAAGGTTGACTAGACACAGTTTGTAGTAGGTACTGTGGAGAACCCAAAATCTGATGATAAACACGGAATACTCTGCGTGTAGCCCATGCAAGGTCAACAATATAAATGTTAATTGCTGCTGTAGTTCCTTAGAAACAATGGTCACAAGGGACAATAGTTCATTAACGCTGTGGAGGACACAACTCAATTTACCCAAATACTCAGATGTCAGATCATCAAGTCCCTGGGGCAATGGCAATACGAGGTTTTGGTAAATTTGGTATCGTTGTGCGGAAAGCTATACACTGCTCCCAAAAAATTCCCATGTCTCATGAAAATGAAAAATCCACTTTAGCAAGGGATGAATAGTGGTTTTGGTGTCACCACACAGCTGGGCGTCAATCTTATTCCACTTGGAATGATCATTTTGAAATTTCTCCTTCACGGGAAGGTGGACAACTTCACCAGCAAAAGTTTAATGTTGGATGCCAAGTATAATAGTTGCTCCCTCCAACCTGTCAGTTGAGAGAAAAGTACTAGCTAGTTGGGGAAAATGGAAGTATTAGCCTTGGGGGGATGGACCTCCATGCACTGTGGGAGGCGTGAAGTCAAAGAAACAGTAAGAGACAAACAACAAACAGACACAATGCGTGTGTGGTGTCTGTTTGCCATGAAAAATAGGGGGTTGGCCAGTGTTGAGACAACACTCTTGATCTTGGGGTCAATGACCAGAAAAGTAGTAAGAAAAGTGGGTGGCCAGTGATGGAACACACCGGAAAGGAAAGAAAGTAATGGTTGAAAGGGGAAACATGACAAAAAGAGACAAGACTGGAATAAGGAGAAACTAGGGATAACAAAATGGACTAGGTCCAGCTAAAAATTGGCAGGGTGGATTGGTGGTTTTAGTCCAGTAGTCCATTTTGGCTTGTCCCGCCTAATCTGCCAATTCGACAGGCCAAGGGCAGGGTAGGACGAACTAACCCATTGGTCCACTTTAAAAAATTATTTATATATTAAAATAAAAATAAAAATGGATTATAATTAAAAATATTATATTTTTTTGTGTTATGTTATTGAAATATGTAAGTATATTATAATTTAAATTATATAAATTAATTAATTAAGTTTAAATTATTGATTATAATTAGTTATTTTAATACATAAATATAATAATTTTTTAATTTATTTAATAAAAATATTAATTAATAAATGAAAACGTAAAAATTATTCATATATTGGAACTTTGTTTCTGTTTATTTTTGTTTTGAATTGGTCAGGGGCTCTTTTACCTTGGAAAATTTATACAATTACCTCATATATTAAAAAGCATACATATAAAAAATTTTTATATAAAAAAAATTATTGGCAGGTTGACCTCTCAGCCCGCCCTTTGGTGGTGCGGGTTGAAGTCTGTAATTCATTCTGACTATAGCAGACCAGTTCGTTCCGTACCCTTTTTGGCGGGCTAGAGCTACCTAAAATGGTACACACTGCCATCCCTAGGAGAAACATGTTTATTAGAAAAAAAATTACACTAATAAGGGCCAACTGGGGGTGTTCAGAATTAAGGTTGTCTAGCATAGCATCATGCTCTAGACACCATATTGAGAGAAAGAAAATGAGACGTGATGAATTCCTTGTGCCTGATATACAATGAAGGCTAGTATGCAATGGGTCATAAATCCAAAAATTACACTTATGTTAATTATCATGATTACATAAAAATATATATCCACACAATTTCCCTATTTCTATTATTTCTAACATATTTTAATAGTTATGTATTTATTTATTTTATTTGTTATCTGAAAAAGAAACTGGTACTTTTCTTCACTCCGAGCCTTGTTATGGATCAATTTAATTATAAAACATATTTATGTTTAATCAGTTGATCTACTCACTGCCTAACATGTACATGTTTAATACTGACAGGCTAGTCTCTGGATAACAATCTTCAGTTATGTTGGGAATTATTTCTGGACTCATTATTTTTTCACAGTTCTTGGTGCATCTTATACCTTTCCATCGTGGAAAATGAACAATGTAAGCCAAAGACCTATGAATTATCTCATAGTGAGACCACATATTCTTTATTGAGTTGCTCTATTTGGTGGTGGCAGGTACCACACACAACATTCCTGCTCACTCATGTTTGCTTCCTGTTTTATCATGTTTCATCGAACATGACACTGCGTCGGTTACGGCATTTCATTTCTGATTTGCCTGAAAAAATTCAATGGGCTACGGAAGCTGCATGGATTCTTGTTCTTGCTTATTTTATAGCATACCTGGAGACACTGGCTATCTCCAATGTACGTTGTAAAACATTATGATGCTTTTCTTTTCAGTCTATGTTTTTAATACTTTCATGGATTGCAATTCCTAATTTTGAATTATCTTTAACTTTTTGTTAATCTTTGTTATCCAAGTTTATCTGAGCTTATCTATATAGGCGTGAAACCTAACCTTTGACAATTTCAGTTTCAATGTATTTGTGCAATTCAAGGAATATGCCATTTGATACTTACAGTTTTCTTTCTTCTTTTGCATCATGGCTCCATCTCCGCACCATGTTAGGCGAGCTGTATAATACTTTTTGTCCCACATTTTTTTTAATTGAAATTTCCATCTTCTTCAAGTAGATATTTGATTTCCCTTCCCAAAATTTCTTGAACTTTTATGATACGAGCTTTCAAATGTGGTACCCATTTTACACCTGTCTTTTGATACAAAACAAAGCTCTTCTACTACTAGGCAGGATTGACTATATGAATCAAATAATGCTATTGTCTTTTGGTAGCACAAGATATTCTGTTAGTCATGCATGATTCGTGAATTGTTTTGAATATTTATGTTGATTGTACTAGCTTTGAGGCATCATAGCATTTAGATATTCCTTATTCTTTGTTGTTCAAGTTTTCCAAGGTTATATTTATCAGGACAATCCCAAAGCCTAAATTTTTTATTAGATTTTGAGGATGTGTAGATGCAATTTTTTGGAATCTACACGAGTTTGGAAATTCTATATTGAGGATCTCACTTCGTATTTAACTTTTGTATTGGTTTATTTTCCAACTAATTGTTTTTTGTGTCCTTTCTTGCTCTTGTTCTTTATTTCTTTTTACATTTTGGGTGCATATTCGTTGCCTAAATTTCTCTTTTGCATATTTTGTTCTATGGAACCTCCACTGCTTAGATCTCTGTCAAACTATCTTACATATTTCTCCCATATTTCTTTTCTTTTAAATTATAATTTCCGAATCTCTTTCCTATCTTCAAGATGGTAATATTTTCTTTTTATCAAGTTATCCTGTCTTTGGATAACCCAAGATTCAATATTTGTGACAGTTAGTATGGTACACACAGAAATACCAATATGCTTAAGATTGATGGTCGTATTTTGATCCTGTAAGTTTCATAATTCTAGATGCACCTATAAATGACTTCAGCTATAAAAGTTCTTTCTTTTTGTTAGCCCTTTTCCTCCTCAGATGTTATATAATACTATGCCTACATCTTTATGAAATTTTATACTTTCACCGAATCAGCCAACCCAAATGACAAGTTTCCTAGTTTTCTATCGTTTTCTTCTTAATCTTATATACAAGTCACAAGACATATACATCTTTCAGCGTATAAAATAACCCAGGATGTCATTTGAAACATATGACCTTGCAGTTGACCTGCAATATGAAATGCATATTTTTGAGAAATAACGCTTTGCATTGGACGTATGCAGTTCCCTTATTATCAATTTGTGGATCGGGACTCTATGTATAAAGTTGGATGTCTGTTTTATGCCATATACTTTATTGTGAGCTTCCCAATGTTTTTAAGGTATGTCATTACTCCCTCTGCTCTCCTTATCTGTCTTCTAAAGTTTCTTATCTAGAAACTACTAATGCAATAGATAGTTTTTTAGAAGTCATATCTTATCCTTTTTATTTTTACAACACAATAAATACATACATAACAGGAGTATAATTGACAAAAGAGTGATCAATGTTGTTTGAACTTTTGCAACACAATATAAATAGAAAACAACATCTTCAAAATATCCAACTATTATAAAGGAAAGAAAGGAGTAACTAGCAGTTGTTTTGGGTTACCTCATTCCGCGTTTGAATTGTTTTGACTATGAACTACCTCTTTTTCTTTGGAAAGGAGTAGTTGCATATCCGACTACATAAAGGGAATATATGTTTTACTAATTTTATTGATGAAAAATCTTGTAAAATGCAGGATAGATGAGAAACCTGGCGATAAATGGGACTTGCCCAGAGTGGCTGTTGATGCTTTGGGTGCTGCCATGCTGGTCACAATAATACTTGATTTGTGGCGCATCTTTCTGGGACCTATTGTTCTAATCCCAGACACAAAACAGTGTCCTCAGGTAGGATTACCCTGGTTTATAGGACACGCCAATCTCACATGAGGCGTATGTAGTGAATTTGCAGATGAAACCAAACTCGGATAGTGGTCACACTGCCAAACTTATGATCAATTCTACTCTATTTTGTTGTTTTTTCATGTTCCCTTCAGCTATAGACAAAGACAAGTAACTAAATAGTGTCTATTGAAATTAATGACGACCTGTTCCTTTTACCCATTTTTCATATGTTCATGTTCTATGTTCTTTTTTTTTTTTCCTGGAATTTTGTGTGAACACCTTTTAAGTGAATGGATCTCTAATGAGAAAATCAACAAGTTTGAGTCTTTAAATATATAATCTACTTTATAATTTAAAACATTACAGTCAAGTTAATTATATTATTTATTTGAAGAAATGGATTTGTTAGACATGGTCTGAAATCATTTAACTCATCTAATAAACAAATTGACTTGATCAATGCCTAACATGAGTTAGGCCATAATTTTGTAGGATTTGATCTTACGAATGGTTGCATCGTAGATGTACCATATTGTTGCAAGTTTGAAGATAATATTTTGATGAAGGAGAGATAAAAATTGAAAACTAGGATTCGAAAACAAAATTCTTATTAAATCCTGTTCGAAATTATTAGATGGTTTAATTATTCACTCATTCGATATAAAGCACTAATCAATCAAATAATACATATAAATGGGTTGGCTTGAACAAAAAAAGAAAGAATTGTTGGTTGTAAATGTTATTTTTGAATTAATTTGCAATCATACAAACTGATCTAAAAGTAGTGAAAATTGAATTAAAAGATGATTTCAACTTTTAATTTTAATCAATTTCTTTAGGTAAATGAATGTTTAATTACACTTGTTTTGTCTGTGGAAGTTGCTTTGAAGAGTTTTTAATGGTAAAAGAATATTATTTCATCTTCATACGTGAAATTATATTAAAATAATATTTTTATTACTGATAATTTTATCAGTAATTCTAGTAAAACTTTTCTAAGGATTGATAATAAATTATTTTTATCTAATTTATTGTAATTATTACCTCTAATATTTCATAATGTGGATTTTTTAGCTTTAATTACTTTTATATCGTATTATTTATTTTCTAATAAATTCTTCAATAAGACTCTTTTCTATTACTATATTTATAAATAAATTATCACTAGTTATTTTTAATAATTATATCATGCATATATTAGAGTTGTTAATATTCTTTTAATGGCTTTACTAATGGAATGAAAATTGATTATATCATCATATTTAGATTGATCAGATTTTTTTTCTACCGAGAATGAGAATAAATTGATCTAAGGGGATAATTAAAAAAAAAAACTGTTTAGACATTAATAAAAACTGTTCTCACACATGAAATGCTATACTACTCTAATAATAATAATTAACCTAAAATTAATCATTGATAGGATCAGAATAACAAATATCTTATATAAGTAATGGATTTTTGGCATATGTGTGCGAGACATGTTCCGTGATACAGGACTCAATAAGAACAAAATATTTTCAAAACGGATGAACAAAATTTCATTTCTCGTTACACCGTACCACCACTCCTCGATGTGGAACTTCTTCTAACCTCAAACCAAACCCTCTTTCGACACCGAATGTTCTCTCTCCACCATAAACCAATCCCAACACTTTCTGCCGCACTTTCTTCACTCCCAGGTACGTCAACACTGAATGAATCCACGCTATTTTGCATTCAGTTTATCGCACTTCAGCATGTGCTGTTTTAAGGAAGCACCGATGGATATAAAGCCAAAGGCAGAGCGAGACAAATAGAAGGCCCTAGAAAAAACATGGAGGACTCCGTTCAACGCAAGATGGAGTAATTTTACGAAGGCTCCAATGGGCTTCCACTTTTCATTCTTCCCATTGGCGGTTTGGGGGAGATTGGGATGAACTTAATCCAAATTAGAGTTTGTTTGGATGAACTTCTGTGTGAAGACTTTGGAGAGAAGAAAATACAAATGAACTCTTCATATGTTATAACTAGCTTATGCATAAATTAATCTGCAAAAGTTCTCTAAATTAACTTTTCTAAAAGATGACTTTTAGCTAACGAAGAAGTTTATTTCTTCTATTTGTTTATTTTTTTTCTCTTTTAAGGGTTTATAAAGAAATTTATCCAACTATGTCCCTTAATAATATATATGATGTTTTTATAAATTGTTGGTCTTGCAAATTGCTAGTTACAAGGTTGCCTCGTGAATATGAATGCAGTATAAGACAAAAATAAATAATAATAATGAAAAGAATTTATGTTGTTCAGTCTAAATGACTTACATTTACAATTGTACTAGATGATAATTCTTACTTATTTAATTATGTTTACAATTACATGAGTATTTATAATAAAAGAATAAGTAAATGCGTGAGACTTAATAATCCTTAAAATTTAACATATTAAAAATCTCTTACTTGGAAATTGATCATATCAAGTACATTCCAAAATAAATCTCAAAGTTATAACACCTTCAAGCTAGTGTAATGTCTTCTGAACAATTAACCATGAAAGTAAGTTGAAACTATGCAAAACTTTAACTTCTCAGCAGTAAACACATTGATCAACATATCTACAGATTCTTAGACCCAAGGATCTTCTCCAAAAACAAAATACTATAACTTATTAGTTCTCAAATGAAGTGATATCTCATCTGGATGTGCTTTTGTTCTTGGATGAAATACAAGATTCTTCACAAAATGAATGACACTCTAACTATTGTTATAAAAAACACTGTCACATTGTTTCCTACCCAACACCTCAACAAAATTCTTCAACTAAACCATTTCTTTATTGGCTTCTGAAATAGCCATATACTGTGTTTATGGGGTTGAAAGTGCAACACTTTTCTGAAGTTAATACCATTCATACATTAAGCTACCAACTACATATGCATAAGGATCCTTAGTCATTGTTGTCTTGTCTTCATCTGTCTTAGGTGACTCCTCTTTAGTGAGATCAAAGTGAACTCCCAAAGGTGTACTTACGATTTTGGCTTTTTGCATGCTAAATTTCTCTATCATTTTCTCAATATATCTCTCTTGAGATAATATTAGGGAACCTTCAAATTTCTCTTGTTGATATTCATGCCCAAAATTTGTTTTGCAATATCGAAATCCTTCATCTCAAACTCTTTAGACAACTATGTCTTAAATATATAAATTTTATCCATATTAGAACCTAGAACTAACATGTCATCAACATACAATAGTAATATGATATAGGATGAGTAAAATTTTTTCAAATAACAACAATAATCCATAACACACTTCTTGTACCCATTCCTACTTATAAAACTATCAAATTTCAAGTACCACTATCTTGGTGCTTGTTTCAACCCATACAAACTCTTGGTCAACTTGCAAACCAAGTTCTCTTTCCCTACCACTTGAAACCCTCTGGCTGTACCATGTAAATGTTCTCATCAAGGTCATAATGTAAGGTCTTAACATCTAGCTACTCTAGATATAAACCCTCTATAGCCACAATGCGAAACACAAGTCTAATGATAATCATTTTAACTATAGGAGAAAAAATCTCATTATAGTCAATACCACTTTTCTGCTGAAAGTCTTTCACCATTAACTCACTTATTCAACAATACCCTCTTTCTTACTGGCAGATTAGTCAACTACCAAGTTTTATTTTTTTTCAAGTGAGTTCATCTCCTCATGATAACACAATGGTTGTCCATCATTAGTAAAAAACAAGTAATTTATTGAAGAAGAAAATATGTGAGGAGGCCTATAACTCTGTTGAATCTCCTCACTTCAACTATTCGGATGACAGGAGTGATCTCCTCAACAATGTTGTCTCTTGAACTCTCACCTTTTCCTGTAAGATCGTCTTTTGTAATGTCTTCTAATACTACCTTTTCCTTCTCTGTTGACTTCTTTTTAGTTTTCGTTTTTGTCTCAATTTTATCCTTGTACACTGCATTTTTATTAAATTTAACATCTATGGTTCTAATTATCTTTTTGTTTTGATCATTTCAAAAGCGATATCCCATATCATCTACTCCATAGCCAATGAAAATGAACTTTATTGCTTTCAGATAAAGCTTGTCCTTGTCAACATCTTTAACATGAGCATAAGAAATTCAATCAAATACTTTCAAATGAGAAAGACTTACATCTTTACCATGCCTTGCCATTCCTCCTTAGGAATATTGAACCCTATGAGAACTAAGGGAACTCAATTAATGAGGTATGTTATTCTGCTTATTATTTCTACCTAGAATGTCTTCGGTAACCCTACATGAATTCTCATATTCTTTGCCCTCTCATTCAAGGTCATGTTCATTCTTTCAGCAATACCATTCTGTTGAGGTGTTTCAGGAATAATTTTAAGCATTCTAATTCCATTATCAGCAAAATAATCAACAAATTTAGTACTACTATATTCACCACCATTATCAGACTTTAAACATTTAGTTTTTAGCCTTGTCTCATTCTTAACAATGGGTTTCTACTTCTTAAAGGTATCAAATATTTCTGATTTCTGCTTCAAAAATAAACACATACCTTTCTAATGGAATCACCAATGAAGGTAACAAAATATCATGACCCTCTCGATGATGAGACTGATGTTGGCCCATACACATTTGTATGAACAAGTTCCAACTTCTCTACCTTAAGCATCCTCCCTAACTTTGCAAAAGTAACTCTCTTCTGCTTCTCAAACACACTTGGTTCACAAAGACCAACTTCTACCTTTTTTAGTTCTGGAATCTTCCCATTTGAAACTAGTATCTTCATATCCTTCTCGCTTATGTGAGAAAGTCTTTGATGTCACAAAGTCGATGGATAACCAATAACATAACTAATTGAATTTATTTCTTTTGCAGGTAATTTTGTCTTGTATAAGGTTCCTTTCTTCCAGTCACGAGCAACAATTAGATTACCCTTCACCACCTTCCACTGACCTTCTTTATACAAGTATTGAAAGTGATGAAGATCTTATTGAATTACTTGAGCAAAGATCTTGTTGATTTGATGAAGTCAAAATGAAGTCAAAGACTACTG